GCGCCCTCTGGTGGCTGCTTGGAGGAGGCACTGAGGAGCCGCGCCGCGGCCCAGTGAAGTCCAGTCCCAGCCTGCGGGCTCCTGTGCTGTTCGCCTCAGGGCAAGCGAGCTCCCTCTCTGGGCTCTGTGTTTGCTAAAGAGCGCCCACTGCAGCGCCTCTCTCCCCGGGAGGCGGCAGGAAGGCACACGATGCCCCGAAGGCCCCGTGGGGCCACCACGCCGGCCTTCTGCTCCTGCACCTCCAGGAGGTGGCAAGATGAGGTCAGCGGTGCTCCCAGCTCGAGCTGATGAAGTCGCCAAGATGCCTTGTGGCTTTGAGGACAGCGGGGGAAATAGACCGTGCAGGTGAGGACAAGCCCTGTGCAGGGCACGCTGGCCAAATGGCCTCCTCCTGGGCACAGCCCTCTGGGATTGCCAGTGGGGATGGAGCTCAGTGCAAAGGCCTTGAGTTTGGTCCCCAGTAAGGGGGTGAAGGAGTAGGCTCACCCCAGGAAAAGGTCAGAGGTCCCTGCTTGTTCAAGGCCACAGGGCCCGATCAAGGGATCAGGCCAAAGTGCCAGGCTCCCTGCAGCAGCCCTAGTCTGAGCCTGGGAGTTTCTGGATGTTGGGGACTGTGCCTCTCCTTAAGGAGTACTAGTCTGGGGATACAGTAAGTACTTACTTTGCACTTGAGAAAGCTGACACTCAGAGTGTATGTGATTCTTTAAGAGTCACATAGAAAGTAACTGGTCATAGAGCTTTGAACCCAGGTAAGTGAAGGTTTGTTGAGTGAGTATCTGAAGGTAGGTTCATACTATGGCTCTCCTGCTGAAACTCTTTTGAGGCTGGCTTAATCCTGTTGGGATTAAGTCTCAGGGCCTGTGGGGCTCCAACCCAACGCCTCCCTCCTCGGCCCATCCTGTCCCACCAACCCAGCTCTTATGAGCTACTTAATGTTTTCACACCTCTCAGGCTCAGCCTGCCATGTCCTTTTTCCTGAAATGTTCTTGCTGTCAAATTCCATTTCTTCCTGCAAAACTCCTATTCAGCCCTCAAGACCCTGGCTACAATGTCCCCTCCTCCATGTACCCCACCTGGTCTTTAACAAATTAACCTTTCTGCCCCCTGAGCACTTGAGACTTCCTTCACTCCGAGGCTTGTGTGGAATTGTCCCTCCCCCAGGCCAGGAGCCCATGCAGTTGGAGTCTGAGAAATTAGATTGCTCTGGGTCCTGTATCTTCTGCTGCAAGGCTGGCCACAAAGGGGTGGGGAGTTGTAGCATGAAAATCAAGGAATAAATGGAATTTTGAGGATTTTTAAAACCTTAAATACCCTGCATATATCCTATAAGTCGTATGAAAGAAATATCTTTGGCTAGGTTCAGAGGTTCCAGAGACTGCCAAGCCCAGGGGTTTCAGGCCCAGCTTGATCAAGGAACTTAATACTTCAGTCTCCCTGCAGGGCTCAGCACTGCTGTCCTGGGTGGGGTTTTGTGCTCAGCGGACCCCAGCGGGTTTTTCTAGCCTAAGGACACCTCTGCGTCCATTCTCAGGAGGACCCTGGGAGACAGCAGCAGATGGAGCTGCCCCTCCCCAGCCACACACGCCCACGCCCTCACGCGGACACTTGCGTCATTTATCTCTCCAGACACCCGCTTCCCACACGCAGGCAGCCAGCCGGCTGGCGTCTAGAGGGACATTGTAAATACACGCTCCCCCTGGGTGACTGCGCGGTGGGTACTGCGGGCCAGGATTGGGGCGGAAGGGGAAGGAGAGGCTGCAGACCCCAAGCCTACTCCTGACCCCGAGGAGGGGACAGCTCGGGCACAGCGCCAAGAGGCCAAGTGGGTCCCCGGGGAGGCCAGAAGGCCTGGGACAGAAGCTCCCTGCACTTGAAGGAGGCAGAATCCCAACAGCTGGGGCAGCGCCAGGCGCGGGAGCAGGCTCTTGGGAGGCCCTGGGGAGCAAGACCCCCCAACCCGCACCCCATCGGGGCTCCCACTGCCCCGCCGCTCGAGGCAGAGCCCCAGGGAAGGAGCCAGGGGTCCCTGGCTGCGGATCGCACAGCTCCATGGGGTGCACCCCCGAGTCTCAGGGTGCAGGGGTAGCTGGTGAGTCTGGAGCCTCGGGTGACTTGGGCTCCAGTCCCCGGCCGCCCGCCACCCTTTCCCCGGAGCCGTGGTGCGGCAGGCCTGCGTTCTGGGCTGCGCGCGCCCCCTGCTGGGCGAGGCCGGGATCAGCGCAGTCCTGAACCCCGGGACCTGGGACCTTTGAGCTTTACTGGGGTACAGCATTCCCTGCCCCGCTCCAGAACAGACTGAGCCCCAATTCTGGGCTGGCCCAAGTCCTGCGATGAACCCCAGTCCCAGCAGAGCCCGGAACTGCCTGACTCCCTAACCTCTATGAAGTCCCCAATTCCAGGCTGAACCGCAATCCCGGTTGGGGCCCACCCTCGCTGGATCCCGAGCTGGGCTGAGCCCCGTGGACTAAGTCCCCACCCCGGTAGCCCCTGATAATGGGAAGGTCCTCCCTGGGTGTGAGCTACCTGCCCTAAGAGAGGCTCACTGCTTGTTCCGGTTGCTTTGCTTCTTCACTGCTTTGCTGCCTTCCACCCACCATGAACTGTTTGTCCTCTGTGACGCCCCTCTGCCATGCCACCCTGACTTCGAGCCACCCGCCTGAGGACTGAAACCTCTATGAAATGGTGAGCCTAAATTAACCTTTCCTCCTTTAACTTTAGGCATCAGGTATTTTGTCTCAGCAATGAGAAAAGTGATTAAGACACTACCCGAGGCTGAACCCCAGTACTGTCTGGCTTGGCCTCATCTCCCCAAACTGAGCCTCTATCCCCATGAAACTGTGCCTCCAGGCCAGGCATGGTGACATCAGCCTGTAATCTCAGCACTTGGGAGGCTGAGATCCTCATGAGTTCCAGGCCAGCCTGGGCTCTACAGTGAGTTTGAGACAAGCCTGAACTACATAGAGAGATGCTGTCTCAAAAACAAACAAACATTAACTCCCATCCCCTCCCGGCACCACCGTCTCCTTCCTGTCTCTGTGGATCTGACCACGCTGGGCCTCCTGGGAGTGGGGCCCTGCAATGTGTGTCCTTCTATGTCTGGCTCAGCTCCCTAAGCAGCTCGGCCTCAAGGCCCATCCTTGCTGCAGTGGGGTCAGGATCTCCTTCCTTTTCCTGGCTGAGTAATATTGCAGGGTGTGGTTGGACCACTCCCCCATAGATGGACTCCTGGGTTGTTTCCACCATTGGCCTAGTGTGAATAATGCTGTTATTAACACACACAGCTCTACAAATCTCCCTCGGGCACCTGCTTTCGGAATCTTTGAGGACACTCCTAGTGTGGAATTCTAGCTCCAGTCAAATGGTTTTCCATAGTGGCCACTCCATTGTACGTTCCTGTCAGTCACACACAAGGCTCCTCATTTCTTTACATCTGCATGGGCGTTTTTAAATTCACTGTCTTATTTGAGGACCCTCAGACTTTCTGAGATTTGGGGAACAGGCTCAGGGGCACAGACAGATTCAGGTAGAGGATAACACAGCTTTTCTCCCCAGTCCTGAGTATGAGGCCTGGGGCTTCCTGTGTGACAGGTGGGCTCCCCGCTGAGTGACACCCCAGCCCCCCAACCCCCAGACTGGGCTGGAGCCCACCTTGGTCACACTCTGCCTTGGCCTGTCCCTGTCCACCCCAGGGTACAGACAGGGTACAGAGCCCAGGACCCATTGTGAGTGGGAGGAGCTTGGGGTCCTGGAGCCACCACTGGGGCCTGTGTGGCCTGGGGAGGTCCCTTCCCTCTCTGAGCCCGGGTTTCTCCTCCATAATGGGTCAAACTGTTTTGGTTGTTTTGTTTTGTTTTTTGTACTGGGGATCAAACTCGGGACCTTGCACTTGCAAGGCAGGCGCCTGAACCACTGAGCTAAATCCCCAGCCCAATCATTTTTTTGCGGGGTGGGGGAGGTCAAACTGTTTTTGTCTCAAGGCCAAGATGTCCCTGGGTCTCCCCTCTGCAGGTCAGGAAGGCACTGAGCAAACATCTGTTGTCTAGCTGTGTGGGCTCCCCAGGGCTGGACGAGGACCCCGAGTTGGGCAGGACCATCGGGCGGAAATGGAGCGCAGAGCTGGGAGCAGCTCCAGGGCCCAGTTCCCAGGGCGCACAGCTGCATCCTCCTTCAGCATCCCACGGAAATGGTGGCTGGAGGGGGCTGCTCTGTGGGGGTTCTAGGGTCTGTCCACCCGGGGGCTGCCCCAAGCCTCACCCCACAGATTTGTCTACAACCCTGGACCCTTTGCACCAGGCTGCTTTCCCAGCCTTTATTTATTTATTTATCTATCTATTTATTTATACCAGGGATCGAACTCAGGTCCTTGAGCTTGCGCAGCAAGCGGCGAAACCACTGAGCTAAATCCCCAGCCTCCAGCCTATATTTATTTATTTATTTATTTATTTATTTATTTATTTTTGGTACGGGGGATCGAACTCGGGTCCTTGCGCCTGCGAAGCAGGCGGCGGAACCACTGAGCTAAATCTCCGGCCCCTCCTATATTTATTTTTGAGATCGGGGCTCCTTAAATTGCCCAGGCTGGGCTCGAATTTGAAATCCTCCTGCCTCAGCCTCCCAGAGTGCAGGCATGACAGACCTGTGTCCCAGTAGGAAGGCGCTTCCGCCCAAATCCTACCCAGGTGGATAAACTGAAAGAAGGAGGCGCCTGTGCAGAGCCACGTGGTAGTCTGTTTTTCCGCGGGGCTCCCCGTCCCTCCCTCACCCCTACTCCCTCCTTCCCTTTCCCCAGCAGGTGCCCCCTGCCGGGCCGCAGCACAATTGCACTGGATCCAGATTCCCGAGGAATCCCTCCCCACTACACCCCAGCCGCCTAGCCCCGCCCAGGGCACGCCCCCTTCATGCTCCTCCGCAGAGACTTGCTCCCATTGGCCTCTTTATACATAGCCCACGGTGCCATTGGGTAATCTCGCTTGCTAGGTCCGCCTCCTACCTCCTAGAGCCTCTCTAGCCTCTTCCGCGAGGGCGGGGAGGGGGGAAATGGGTGTGGCCTGTGGGAACGTGGTCTCGGAGGGCGTGGTCGAGCCGCACGCCCGGCCCTGTCCTCCTGAGAGTCCAGCGCTAGTTGCGCCTCGGCGGCAAAGTTCCTGGCCTCACGGAGCCCTCTGGAACCCCACGGATCCCCGACAATCGGACCAACAGACAGATCTTGGAGAGCAGGTGAGCGAGCGGGACGGGGCGACCCCCCAGCTGGCCGCCCTCGGTCCCTGCACCCCTACATCTGCCTGTGTGCCCTCCTGCCTCAGTTTCCCTGTGTCTCGGCCGCTCTCTGCGTGTATGAGTTGGAGTGGAGGCGACAGATGGTGTGAACCGCCCCATCCCCCGGCGTGGGGCCTCACTGGGGGACCAGTGCCCACCCCCTGGAGCCCGATGTGGACTCTTCTCTCCCTGCACAGCTGCCCGGGTTCCCAGGCGGTGGGCACGGAGAGGCTTCCGACTGCCCAGGAATCAGGGGAGCCAGGGCCCTCTGTCCACCGGCTCCCTGTGACTGAGGCCTGGGCCTCGGTGTTATGAGCTGTGGCCTGGGACTGTGGCTGCCGAGGTAATGTCGGGAGACCTGACCCAGACCTGTCCCACCTAGCCTTTTGTTTTGTTTTGTTTTGTTTGGTTCCGGGGATGGAACTAGGGTCCTTGCGCTTGCGAGGCAGGTGGTGGAACCACTGAGCTAAATCCCTGGGCCCTACCTAGCCTTTTCTGTGCTGGCGCACTGGGCCCATTTCCCAGGAGGGTAAACTGAGGGCCAGGAAGGAGCCAGGAGCTCTCCAGGGAGGTGGGACCGAGGTAGGACAGGAATCTGCTTTTAGGAGTCTCTCATCGTCAGCATCTTCTCTGGCAGTTGCAGGAGGGGACGCCCAGCTGTAAACAGGACACAGGTGACTCCCTGAGCTCAGCTGGGGCCCCAGGGAGTCGGGGAAGTCCCAGGCCAGCCTCTGGGTGGGGGGGCTGAGAGGAACCCAGATTCGAGCTTTGCCAACTGCTGTGGTGCCTTGGACATGCAGTTCACCTCTCAGGAGCCTGAGTTTCCACATTTGTGAAATAAGGACAGAGCCAGACGCGGTGGCACACACTGTGAAGTTGAGGCAGGAAGATCGCAAGTCGACTTGAGACCCTGTCTCAAAATAAAAACTAAAAAAGGCCTGGTGATGTAGCTCTGTGTGAAGGGCCTACAATAATAATAATACTGCAAAGGAACAAAATTCCATGTGGTTGTGGCTGCCTGAGGATTAAGTGCAGGAATGTGGGCCCTGACTGTCACTACCCACCCGGATCTCTGTCTGTTGCTGTCGCTGTCGCTCTGCTTCAGGCTCAATGTTCCCCCTGCCCCCACCCTGCACGGCCCAGCCCCAAGGCCTTCCGAACAACCTGCCTGCCCCCAGCCTGACGGTCCACAGCGCCAAATTTCAAAGCTAACCAGGTGACTGGCTGGGCCAAGCAGGGACCTGCCAGGCAGGGCTGGGCGGTGGCAGGCAGTTGGAGGAGGGGCCGGACGCGGTGCCTATGGAGACCACGCACAAAGGGCCGCTCCCCAACCCCACGGGCACCTGGCCTGTGCTTGGCCGCGGGGCGGATCAGAGGCGGTGGAAGGTGAGTGCGGGGCCCTGGGGGCTAGGACAGGACCAGCGGGTGGATTCCAGGCCTGTAGTGTGGCCTGGGCTGGGTCAGGTGCCCCTGAGCCTCAGTTTCTCATCAGAAGCCCTGGCAGGGCAGGGCTCGGCCATCCTCACGGGGCCTTTGCTTTCCTTGATGATGGGAGGGGGTGGGGTCCAGGCCTCAGGGTCCCCGTTTGTCAGGTGGGGCCAGGAGAGGGTGACTTGGGCGTAGAGCTCACGGGTGTCATGGAAACACACCCCCAGCCCAGGGAGGGCCAGAGCCAGTCCAGGTACGCAGTGCCACCCCGCTCTAGTGTCCCCATCTGTGAGCTGCCAGAATCCTACAACCTGGATTCTAATGTAGGCACCTCAAGCTGAGTCCTCCAGGACTCAGTTTCCCCATCCATCTGATGGAGCTGAGGGGTGTGTGTTTGTGTGTGTGTGTGTGTAGCCAGGGTGGAACCTGTGGCCTCTGCCCCGAGCTGCATCCCCAGCCCTTTTTATTTATTTTAAGACAGGGTCTCACTGAGTAGTCAAGTTGCCCAGGCCGGGGTTGAACTTGAGATGCTCCTGCCTCAGCCTCCCTAGTGCTGGGATGATAGGCGTGCACCACCACCCCTGACTTGGGGTGTCCTTTTTTTTCCTGGAAAAGTTAAGATAACTGAGTGTGGAGAAGGTCCTTTGGGGGGCACGGGGGTTGCACACCTGTACCATGCATGTCTTTGTATCTAGGCCTTAACATCCCCAGCTGGACGATGGGGCCCTTGGTTAAGGTCTCTGACATTGTGCTCGGCTGTTGCTGAGTAGTCATTTATTCACTCAACAAACAGATCCTAAACAGGTCTGGCCCAGTGCAGGGCTCCAAGAACCCAGCCAGCCTGATGCCCACCCTCCCTTGGCTCAGGCTGGGGTTGAGGGAAGTGAATGCAGTCCTTCCATTGTATTCTTGGTTGTTGCATGAAAATGACAAAGGAAGAGAATTGAGGGGTCCCATGGGTAGGGAACCTGAAAGGACTCTCAGGAAGGAGACAGACGAACTGGGTCCTGAATGACAACGTAAAGCTATGTGGAGACCTGGAGGAACAAGATTTCAGGCAATAGGAGCAGTCCATGCAAAGGCCCTGGGGCAGCATGGAGCCCATGAGTTGCAGGAGCAGGAGGAGCCTGTGTGGCTGGAGCAGAGGGAGCAAGGGGTAGAGAGGGAGGAGGGGAGGTTAGGAGGGGACAGGTGGGCCTTGCAGGATCCTGTGGGCTGCATGGAGGATCTGGGCTTTGGCCCCAGGGAGGTGGGAGCCATGGAGGTCTGAGGGCAGAGGCGGAAGGGATGGGACTCGGTGCTCACAGTGCCCTCTGGCTGCTGTGGGGAGGACATTATGGATGTCAAAGGAGGGAGCCAGGGGCCAAAGCACAGTGTCCTGGCTCCCGGGGCAGCTGGAAAGGAGGCTGGATGCTAAAGGGGTGGGCCAGAGGGTTCCAGGGAGCCCAGCTTGAGAACCACTGGTGTCTTCCCGACAGCAGACAGCAGAGTTGCCCTTTTCTCTGTTTGGACATTGTAAGGGGCTGGATGCACCAGGAGTTCCAAGTGGGTGGTGACAGTGCGTTGGCGCGAGGACTTGGGCACAGCGGTCACGGTGGGCAGAGGCTGAGACCACCCTGGGGCACTGTGGCCGGGCTGGGACAGGGGCACTGGGACAGGGGCACGAAGCGGCTGTCTCAGCCCCACCGGGCGGGTGGGCGGGCAGGTGGCTGAGTTAATTATTGATGCCCATCGTGAGGGACCTGAAGAATTCATGTGATGGGGCGGGGCTGCTAGGAGCTGGTGACCCGAGGGAGATAGGGAGCCAGGCCCAGCGCCTGTGGCTTTTCAGGAATGTCTCCCTTCAGTGTTGAGCACGGCCATTGTTAAAGATGACAGGCTGCGGACTTGCCATTCAATAAATCATCTTCAGTAAAACGGTGGGCAGGCGGGCAGGTGGGCAGGCGGGCAGGCGGGCAGGCGGGCAGGCGGACGGGGGCAATGCAGTGGGGAGTGCTTGCTGAGCTTGCCAGAGGCCCTGGGTTCCAGCCTCAGTGGTGCAGAATATAAACACATAAAAATAAAGTAGCCAGGCATGGCAGAGCATGCCTGTCATCCCAGCACTGGGGAGGCTGAGGCAGGAGGATCACCACAAAGTCAAGGCCAGCCTGGGCTAGTGAGACCCTGACTCAAAATACCAAAATAAATAAAGGTGTGGAGTATTGTTTAGCCTTTAAAAGGAACAAGGCTGTGTGTGACGCATACTACAGGACAAATAAAAGGACACACAGCATGGGCTGCATGGGCAGGAAACATCCAGGACAGGTGAATCCAGAGACAGGAAATGGCCTCAGAGGAGCCAGGGGCTGGGGAGGGGATGAGGTGACTGGTTATGGGGATGGAGCTTCCTTTTGGGGTGATGGCATGGTCTGGCACTAGACAAGGGTGGTGGTTGCATAGCTTTGTTAATGTAGAAAATTCACCAAATTGGGCTGGGGATTCAGCTCAGTGGCACTGGGCCTACCTGGCAAGCACAAGGTCCTGAGTTCCATCCCTGGTACGGGGTGGGGGTGGGGAGAAAATTCACTGAATTATACTCTTTACATCAGCCAATTTTGTGGTATATGAATCCTTTTAATAAAGCTGATATATATATATTTATATATATATGCGCAAAGGTGTGGGGCAGGGTGGCAGGAAGCTGAGGCAGGAGAATTGCAAGTCTGAGGCCAGCCTGGGCCACTTTGTGAGACCCTGTCTCAAAATAAAAAATTTAAGTAAGGGGCTGGGGATTTAGCTCAGTGGTTTCGCCGCCTGCTGCACAAGCTCAAGGGCCGGAGTTCGATCCTCAGTACCAAAAAACAAAATTTAAGTAAGGGCTGGGGATGCAGCTCAGTGCTTCCTGGGGTCAGATGCCAGAAGAGTAGAAGAGTGCAGCTCTCTCATTTTCTTACACATTTCCTGTGTCCTGTGCTCTGAGATTCCTTTCATCCCTTACACTGTTTGGTGGAAGTTGAGGATGCCGTCCCCCCACTCCATGTTCATTGATACCAAATTAGCAGCCTAAAGTTGGCCGTGGTGGCGAATTTTACACTGTGGAAACTGGCAAATGCTAGAATTCAAGGCTTGGTGTATTGTTCTGTGGTTCCTCTAGGTCTGGGTTTAGCAAGGGTTTTTTTGTGTTTTTTTTTTGTACCAGAGATCGAACTTGGGTCCTTGCACTTGCACAGCAGGTGGCGAAACCACTGAGCTAAATCCCTGGCTGGCAAGGGTTTTCCATAAACGACCAGAGACCAGATATCTTCAGCTTTGGAAGACACGCAGTCAGCTTCTGGTGTAAGAGGGAAAGCACCAGAGTGGGTATTAGTGAATGGGTGTGGCTGAGTGTCAATAAAACTTTATTTACAAAAGCAGCTAGGTAGGGCCGGGGATTTAGCTCAGTGGTTCTGGCGCCTACCTTGCAAGCGCAAGGTCCTGAGTTCGATCCCTGGTACCAAAAAAAAAAAAGCAGCTAGGGGGCCATAGTGTACAATTTTTTTTTTTTTTTTTTGGTG